GTACAGTAAGCTTACAACAAGGCCGGACACAAGGGGGGCCACGAGGACACGGCCGGCTCAGTAGTCTTAGGCTAGGTACATAGGGACAAGAGAGACCAGTCCACAAAGAAAGAGGAAGGTCTATACATAGAAGCTTAGCTAAGCAGCGCTATGTCGAAGCAGGGCAACACTAAGACCATAGTTTTAATTAATTGTGATCCACTAGCATGAGCCCAACACACCAGGTGCATGACCTGAAGCTAATGGCAAAAGAACAACATAAAACCCAGATTGTTTCGATCACCAACCGAAGCTTGCTAACGGTGTTGTTGAAAAGTATGGCCTCCAGGCCTGTGGTTTCTAGTTTTGCGGGTTCAGGTGATCACAGCGTTGTTGTTGTTGTTGTTGTGGATAGTGTCGTCTGAGGTGAGCAAATACTACTGGAGCAAGGACTCACTGGTTTAATTGAGGGGTTCGCGGTCCAGGGTTTTAGGGCTTCCGGGGTGTAGGGTTTGGGTTGTAGCTAGGTCAGACAGGGTTAAGTTAGAATGCTTATGTGCATTTCAGACTGGAAGATCAAGGTTTTGGAGTTACAAGTTTAGTAATATAATAAATCATGATGGGGACCCGGGGCTGTTATACATAGGACTCGATAATGCATCGGTAAATGTTTAAGACTTACCAACGTGATCTTATAACTTTTATAATAACCGGTTAGTAACTGATGCTCCTGGTGCTCTCGGCTAGCGTTTGCGATGTGTCTGACAAATCAGAATCTAAAGGACCCGATGATATCAGTTAACTAAGTTTAAGCTGAATGCTCAGCGATGTTACGTGTTGGAATCCATCAGTTCCTGCCCGACTACGAACCAGCTGATCACTTCTTCTTCCCCGGAGCTTTCGCCAAAAGTGCATCGATGCCTGTTGCTGCCTGCGCGAGGGATTTTTGATTAAAGGAGTATAAGGGAAGGGTTTCTGGCATTGACTCACTGATGCGCATCTATGCACGACTGTGGTTGTTCAACTGTGCACACGACAATTGACCATGTCTCGTGTTCTGTCTGCTGTCTCTCACTCCAGCCTTCGGTGTCGCTCCAGCCTTCGGTGCCGATGCTTTCGCCGGCTCCTTCGGCTTCGGCGTCGGGGCCTTGCTCATCGCCTTGTTGCTTGTGTCCTCAGCCGCGCGTTCTGTACCGGAGTTGATAGACGATGCCGCGGCCCCTGGGGTCTCATCCGGATTTGAGGTTACCGGCTGTGTGTTTTGCGGCGGGTCCGCCTCAACGTCAACTGTGGCACCATCCAACTTGGGCTTCTCGGCACTGGGCACCGGCTCAGTCTTCGCCTCCTTGTCCATGTCATCGTCATCTTTCGTGTCATTGCCACCAGCATTGGAACCATTCTGAGTCGAGTCGCCCTTGCCACTGTCCTCGCCCTCCTTGATGTCATTCTTCGTCTCCTTCTTGATGAGGTCCTCTTTCGTCGGGGAAGGCTCCCGGGGAGGAGTCTTTGGTGGGCAAACAACGGCGGCATCAAACTCAACTGCTCGCTTGCTGGCCAGCACCTTCGCAACATTCCGGGGTGTATGCTGCTTTGTCAGGCAATGGAGCATCCATATACCCGTGCTCGCATCTTTCTGAATCTCCCATGTCTCACGCGGCAGCAGTAGCATGCTACCTGTCTGCTCCCATGCCAACCAGGTTCCATCCTGCGCTCCGACCAGGAAGGGCTCGGTGGGCACACTCGGGGCGGGCTTGTCGTCACTCGTTTCGGCAAACAACGAGTCTGCGTCGCTGTCCCCCTTGTCCGGTGTTCCTCCCCCCTTCTCATCCTTCGTCGTCTTCGATTTCTCTCCGTCACTGTCACTGCGGTCACCAATCGCACCGGGATTGACCTTAGTCTTGGAGTCACCCTCCGGCCCCTGCATGCCCTTCAACTTCTTCGGCGAAGTGGAAACACCAAGCCCTTCAGGCTTGTTTCCTGTCCCTTGCCCCTTCTTCTCCCCGTCGTCGTGCTTAGTCTTGCCGTTGTCCTTGCTCCCGTCTTTGGCCGACTTGCCCTCCTTGGTCTTCTCCGTTCGATCCTTGCGGGACCTGCTGCGGCCGCGACTCTTGTCCTTGGTCTTCTCCTGCTGCTTGTGGGACTTGCTGCTGCCATCACGCGTCTTGCCCTTCTTGCGGGACCTGCTGCGGTCGCGACTCTTCTCCTTGTCGCCTTTTTTGGGAGACCTGCTTCTGTCCCGCTGCTTTTTGTCTCTCTTCTCAGCTATGTACGACGCACAGGAAACTCCATTCTTCTTGCCCTTGTCATCCAACAGCATCGTGCCCTTCGGGCCCGCCTTCAGCTTGTACTGGCCAGCCGGCAGAGCCACCGATGTCCCCGTCGCAAGCCTGAGGCAGTCGCATCCATATTACTTAAGTAACCGAAGTCATGTGTCACCTCGAGTCAGCATACATCCCCGGAGTTTGGTCATGGGTTCGTGCACGCGCATTTCGGGGCAGTTAATAACTGATATAATGATATGGGAAGCTGGGGATTAGGGATTGGGAGTCTACTTCTGTCTGACAGTCAGACTCAACTAATAATACTAATATGATTACCTCAGAGCCCTATAATATATACTATATATTAAACCTTAAACCCTAGAGCCTTACTTTAGAAGTTACCAAACACAGGATTAAAGCTGAAACCCTAAACCCTAGAACTCGCAAAGCTCGGGAACACTATAATTTCTAGGCAATCAGCAAGTATTTCAAGAACCTTAAATTTTAAACCCGTAATTTGCATCCCATTCAATGCAGCCGGGTTAGGGAGTTGTCACTTGAAGGTTCGCGCCGTACCAGGTTAAGTGCTTCAAGGCTAACTGCCGGCCGAGAAGCTTGGGTTTGATTACGGGGCGGGGGTTCGTATCCTAGTCACTAGTGAGTATGTAGTTAATAGGACATATGCGCACGTGCGGCTCTGGAACTGGGTGGTTTGTATTGTATGAGAACGACTTGACTTTGATTCAGCTAGCAAATAACTCAGCCACAGCTCAGATAAGTGTATTATGCAGTTTCTTGGTTTGCAAAAATTAAAATAGTCTCGTGTTTGATTATGAATGAAGAATCAAGCATGGAACCCCCGGCTCTAAGTACTACGTCGTTCGGTTCCGAAGGAAAGAAGTCCCACCCCGGACCCTATGTGAAGTGTTTGCGAGACCGCCTAGCAGCTATTAGTAGTATTGCCAGCAGTGTTAGTAATTAATTCAATATTTCTTCATGAGAACTTATTATTATCATAAATTATCACTATACTAGAAGTTATATTGTTATAGAATAGCAAACCATCTGCAGTATAGCAGAATTTAGTTTATTGCATATAATATATACGAAAAGAGCAAGAACCTGGTGCATCAGTAATTCCCTGACTTAGACTTCGAGTATTGGGGCTGGGTGCAAGCCGGACTGAGTCTGGAACCCCAGGAAATCAGAAAGGGTTGGCACTGTCATCATGATGACCCACAGGTATACCACACTACAATGTTACAGGTGGGAAGACACTGAAACTTGATACCGGGGTTGAACGACCACAATCACCGATGTGACAAATGCGAGTCCATAATTCGCACATGCTGAATATTCTGCAATACACATAAGCACGGGCTTCAACCAACCATTGCGACCATGACCGCTAACTAGGATCTACCATGTGAGCCACATTAATCGTCTCCGAGTGGCTCTACCAGCTTGAGGCCACCGTCGGTGGACTCCCGGATCTTGTAGTCCTTCACCGCCGACGTGGCATCCGTCTCCGAGCTGGAGCTGGAACTGGAATCATCGCCAGAAGACGACTCACGCTTGGCCTTCAACTTCTTCTTCTTCTTCGCGTCTTCGGACTTCTTGTTGTTGCGCTTAGCCATGAACTGCACAACTTCCTGTGGGAGTGCTCCCGGTTCCCCTGTCTCCTCGTTCCTCTTTGGCAGCTTCCATGCCCATCCACCCACAGCGTCACGCTTGATCTTGCCGGCATGATACTGGGCGAGCTGCCACTTCATGTACTGGTAAATCTCCTCTGGACCCCATCCAGTGTGAGCCACCGGGCAATTGCGGCGCTTGTACTGACTGGCGGCTGCCGTGACGACAGAGGTTTTGTCGCCCCCAGCCTTCGTGTCGGTATACAACCACCCAAACGCAAACCCCAGCACGGCAAAGAGCTTGCCGCGCCGACAGGGACCAAAGGTGTCCCTGTGCATCCAAGTCGCATCCACCTCCTGGAGCCACACAAGGATATGATGGTTTATGAAGTCCTTGTAGATCCGTTGATGACTGTATTCTTCCTTGGTGCTGCGGCGACCACCGTCTGAGGTCTTATTCTTTGGCTTGGACTTCGCCCCTTTCTTTGGGTTGTTCTTTGCTGGGGCTTCGTCCCGTGCATCGAGACCATCAGGAAACATGAGACTTTCTCCACTGTCGGACTCACCCAGCATGCTGCACGAAGGTCGCACCTCCTTGTCCTCATCGTCTTCTGATGAGCTGCTGGGCTCCTTGCGCCTGCGGTGTTTGTCCTTGCCCATCTCGGACAACAACAATTACACAACGGCTGCTGGGCAGTGCAAAACTACAAACAGCTGGATCCAATCACACTCACGCTGGTGATATTCAATACGACAGCCACAATGATCATTGTCATGCAAAGTAATCACGCACTGGCACTGACACGCTGACTGGCTGGATCCAAGGAATCACACACATACTCCGCACCGGCCTCTCTTTTCTATGCACAAAAGTTCAACATCTCTCAGGGCAGGGTGCTCTGCCAGGCATTGACAGACATGATTCAAGCAGACGCTCAGCGCTCTTTGAAACAACAAAGTGCCACCAATTGAACGACCGCGGCTGTGGCAAAATGAAACGAGTTACCGGCAATGCTGTGCGCACGACGATTGTCGAGCACCGGTAACAGTGGCACACCCATTGACACTGCCGCCTCTGGTACTACTGGAAAACCCAGGCAAGCGAGCTTGTCTCTCGGTGTCAGCCACGTTTCTGACTCTGGGTGGTACATTTTTCCACCGCCCCTTCGAAAAGTTGGGATCTTGCCCGATTTCGCAGACCAGTTCAGGTATCTCTCGGGGTTGTCGCCTAAGTGCACGAAAAGATCGGGGTCCTTTGCTGCATCTTTGCCGAAGGTTTCCTTGTAGAGGCGGCACACATACCTAAGACCTCGGAGTTCGCGATCGTTCAGCAAGTAGCGCAGAGAAATGGGCTCATCCTCCCGTACCTTAGTCCCACATCACTGGCTGCTGCACTCACATCTGTCTGTGCACGATATGCTCCCAACTGCAAAGGAATGCTCCACTGTAATTAATTTTCATTCAAGCTGCAACACGAAAGCTCATTTTCCTCGTAATCGCAGTTGCTCCGGCCTCGATGAGCAAGTCGACCCGACTCGACACCAAGTAGTCGCGAGGTCTGGTTTGAACCAGGGAGGAGATGTAGTGGCTCAGTTCAGTGTAAACCTTGACCACATCACGCACCTGTCGCACAACATGCTTCCAGGTCAGGATAAGGTACGTCCTGTTCCGAGCCACTCCAGCATGTCCCTGATCTGCAGGCGAAACAAAAAGCTGCACGATGTCATAGTGGCGGCCATACAGGGTGTGGATCAGGTTCATGCGCAACTCCTGGGGCAACAACACAACCCTGTGACTTAGCTCAATCTTTGGAATGTCAAAACATGAGGCACAACAACAACACAACTTAGTCCAAGTCTCGGGCACATTCTCGATTATGACCATTTTGGTTCGGTGCTCCACGTGCATTTTCGCGTGGCACGCAAAAACCTGTGCAGTTGCACCTTCCTCGTATTGTTTGAGTCCAATTCTAGACATATCAGGGCATGGTAAGCCACTAATGTCATAGTCAGCTGTCACTGCCCGAGCACCGAAAAGTCTGCAATGTTGGTTGTGGGTGTAACAGAACTGCTTGACCTTCAGCGGGGCTTTGTCCACTGCGCGAACCATTTGATTGAAATCAAGGCCCAAGGGAACCGAGCCGCTTGGCAAAATTGCGGTCACATCTCCATGCACACAGTGTGGAGCTTCGTATGTCTCCAGGGTATCGTTGCACCACCGCATATGGTCGCATATCAGCTGCCTGCAAGCTTCATCCATTTCCTTAGCTGTGGCTGTGACAAGAGGACACCCAAGGAACTCGCGCCACCAATTCCACCCAATCACACCAAATTGAAATACACTGGCAACATTTGCAATCCACAGCAAGTGTCGTGTGCACGTACTGGCCGTAAACTCACTGGCAAGCCCAAGGCTACTTTAGAACAGCTGTTGACAGTTCTCTCCACCACAGCAAGTGCCATCTCACCTGTGTAAGCTCCAGTGCAGCAAGAGGATACACGGCGCACAGAAGTCAGCATAGTCTCCTGCAGAGCCAAGCACATGAGAATGGAACCCCGCCAAACAAGCCGCTTGTTCTGTCGTGGACACCCAAGGCAAGCTAAAATACCCCTCAGAAGGCACCTGCAGCATCGTCATGGGCAACCACGTCGTGAGCTTCTCCCATGCAAATTGCACACATCGCGAAGCCTGTGAAAGTGGAGGCTCACCTTGCATGTCCTCGGCAGGATTCGTACGATCATCTCATTTCACTAGAAGACCTGGGCCGCAAAACCAACATAAGCCAAACGCTCTGTCCTGTGTCGGGCTGGAGCTCGTCGTCAGCTGCGACGACTGGGTCCACATTGGGGCTTCGGAGGCAGCTGGACTGCTGCCCAACGAAACCGAGATTGGCATTGCTAAGAAGCTGCTACCATGACAGGACGCACAAACCAAGCATTTCTCACAGCCTGTGCACTGGTCCCAGTGCATCCTAAATTTGGTTCTGTCCCAATGCCAATGCTGCAAATGCCAATGCTGCAAAACTTTACAACACCTACATATCATAAGTAGTGCCACTTGAAAATTAAGGCAACTTGACAACACATGCCGCGGAATTCGAACACTCAATCATGCAAGCACCAGCCTTGCTCTGCGAAACTAGTTTCTCAGCACCGGACTAGCGGAGGTGCCCATCCGCCCTGTTGCTTTTCGGGGCTCCATACCCACATCAGCTCCAAAGGTCTCTTGCCCACGTTGCTGGCATCCATGAATATCTTAGCAAAGAACGAACATTCAGATATCATGGCCAACGATGGAAGCAAACGGACGCCCGAGGACCCAGCGTGGAACTGGAAACACTCCCGTAGCATCGTTGCCAGGCTGCAGAAGTAAACGAACTAGGTGCACGAATGACAAGGGCTGGTCGTTCCTTCTACTGCGTGTGCAAAATGACATGAGGGTCCGGCGGTGGCGGGAAGGTTGACAGCAGAATTCTTCATGTTGCGATCTGATGCAGCAGGCAGCTTCCCAATGGCCTTCGACAGGAAGCGCTCCTCCCAGCAATCTGACAACGTCACTGCATGCACTTAAAATCTACTGGAGTACAACCTTGCAGCACGGGTCCTGTCCACTCCACACCTTCTGGGCCAACTGCTCTGTAATGTTTGCTGCGCGCCCGCGGTGCAACACTCTGTTCTTAGCATTGCTCAGCACTGGAAGCACTTCCTCGTCACTTCGGATGTGCCAAACGTGTCGGTCCAAACAATCCGCCAAGTTGGTGACAAGATTGTAAACAATCGAAATTGCCTGCTCCACAAAAGGCTCCGTGCGCTGTGAGTCTAGACAAAATGCCAGCAACTCCGCAAAAGCACAGTTTCCAAGTGTGGCTGCTGATGTGAGCCAGGGTTTTTTGTCGTTCTGTGCATCTTTGTCCCATGCAGCCTGCACATGCCGTCTGAAAAACTCCGAGGACCAGAAATTGGACGTGTCGACACAACCACTTGCGTCTACAGACAGCACCGTTGCGGAACCATCGCCGATGCAGGTATGAGGCAAGGAAAAGCCGCCTAGTCGCAAGCTAAGCAATGACACAAGTCCCGCAAGCACTGATGCCGTACGAAATCTGCTCTTAAACGGCCGGTATTTCGTCCGCAACCCAAACACTATGAAGGCAACCACCATAGATGTCGGTATGGTTCCCTCTCGGATCCATATCGCTTGCTCCGGGCGCCCTTGATCTTGGCCTGCCATCTGGGGCAGCTTGGCTTGCTTTGGCAACAGCAGGTGCACTGGAATCCCTGGCCACAGTGCGTGGTGGTAGTCCCGGATGGACTCTTTATTCTTGTTGAAACCAGCATTCTTTGCCTTCTTGGCTGACTTGCGTTCTGTGAACGCCTGCGCTACCTGTCATGAGAACGAGAAGAGGAAGAAACACTGTGTAAGTTTGGTTGTTGGGCGCTAGCATCACTAGCCGTACTGTAGTAGACACGATACTATGTCAGACAAGAGTGCCTGGTGAGTTGTCCACTCGCACTGGCGGACTTCGGACGCATAGACCGTGATCTCACATCGGTTCCATGAAATCTGACCTGATCATAACAGACTCCACACGACACGGATTTGAAACAAAAAAACACAGAGATTCAGCAAGCCCCCGTAACAACTGTCTCAGATGAACCATTCTATCTAAGGGACACCGAGAGCCGAAGTCAGGGATGTCATGGTCATCGGGCTCTGCCGATAAAATGTCGTCGTCGTTGTCATCAAAAGCCACGGCGGCCATGTCTATGACGAGGCATAGGTAAGTTAACTATAACTAATTGGAGGCCATGTGTTATGCGTCCAGCTCGGCAGCACACTACTAACGCTTGTCGACGCTAATTACTTGCTGAGTTTGACGATTCTGTTTGTCAGTGTGTAGAATGACATGACGATGACTGCTGGGCCTTGGGTGAAGACCTCAAGCAACAACGCCGCCTCAGGCAATGGATTCAGCGCATATCTTATTTATGCATTATTTCGGGGTTCTTAGCTTCATGCAGAGGGCGCGGCTCATGCCTTATTTAAGCTTTATTTTGGGGCTTCCTGGCCTTATTCTAGCCTTATTTGAGCCTTATTTGGGCCTTATCTTGGGGTCTTCAAAATAAGGCCTTAATAAGCAGCTAATAGAGCCTTATTTAAGGCTTATTTCTCTTTGGGTAGGGTTTAGCTAGGGTGGGGGTAGTATACTTGGGGTTAGTATATGATTCCATGATAAAAGGGACCCTAATTGGGGTTACGGTACTTATAAGTCCCTAAAATAACCAGTTACTAAGTCCCCCGACCCTCCAAGTAGGGATAGCCCTTAAACTAGAGAACCCTTATAGAACCCTTGTAGTAACCCTTAATGTACCCTTAAAGGAACCCCTACCATTTGGGCTAACCCCAACCCCCTAAGCCCCCAAACCCTAAACCCTAAACCCTTAAAGAATCCCTATAGATCCCTTTAAAGGACCCCTTTAAAGGAACCCCTTATAGTTACTACGTCCCCCAACCCCCTAAGTCCCCAAACCCTAAGCCCCTCTCCAGGCGCACTCTTCAACCTGGTTGTTGATGACATCCTCGCCTGCGCCGCAGGGTCGAAGGAGTCTGGAGATTTGGGGGTTTGGAGTTTTAGGGTTTTGGAGCTTTTGGGTTTAGGGTTTAGGGTTTCAGGTTTAGGGTTTTAAGGTTTAGTGTTTAGGGTTTTAGGGTTTTACATGTAGGGTTTTGGAGTTTTTGAGCTGTTTTTTTTTTTGAGGGCTCTTTTCCGTCTGCACGCGGGTTTTTGGATTTAGGGTTTAGGTTTTGAAGGTTTAGGGCTTCAGGGTTTTAGGGTTTAGGGGTTAGGGTCACCATATGAGCCCTTTCGTATATTCCTTAAATAAGGGGTATTGGGCTCTCTGGGTTTGGAGTTTTAGGGATTGGGGTTTCGGTAGTTTTTCGAAAGAACGGGGTTGACAGATATTTGTGTGACAACTTCGAGACATTGCCCAAGGTTCCGGACGCTTAAGGGATCCCCATAGATCCCTTAAGGGACCCATAAGGGATCCCCATAGATATTTTAAAGTGCCTATCGCTTAGTCTGTGGAGTCGGGAGGATACGATGCAAGTTGCAACAGCAGAGCGGAGTGAGAGCAAGTCGCAATGAGAGATGACTTAATCGCTTGATGTAATTGAAGTACACCTTTGGTACAACCTAAACTCTAAACCTTGAACCCTAAACCCAAAGCCCTACGCCTAAATTCTTCATGCTAAACCCTTGACCCTGAACCCCAATACGTAAGCTAATATAGTACCCTAAATAGTAGGATCCAAAAATTGGACCCCAAAATAAGGTACCCCTAATCCTCGGAAACTCCCCCAAACCCCCGTGACTGCGTCCCCGGCTGCCTCTAGGAATTTGAACAGCCACTTCCTTCTCTGCAACCCGCACCTGAGGCTGCAAGGACCGCAGAGTTTTGGGTTTCGGGTTCAGGGACCCACAGCTGGGCGGTCCCGTTCCAGAGAGCCCAATATCCCTTAAGGAAGGAATATGGCTTAAGTTATAAGGGGCTTCATATTCTGGCTTAAGCTATATTCCATAATTGGGGGGCATTGGGCTCTCTGGGTACTACGAAGTACGAGATAGTATACGACACTATTGTGTCATAGTAAAATTTACATTGCACCAGGATACAGAGAAATGTAGTACAAAACAAGACCACGACGACGAGACCTGCCAGGAATATGCCCATGCTGATATTGATGCCGATGTTTAAAAAGGCTGTTGAGGTTCACTACATTGATGAAGACACATGTCTGATGATGGCCGTCAGAGCCATACATATCATGCTTAAGAAGACGAGGACGATGACGATGGTGATGCAACGATGCTGACGAAGTCATTTTCGGGATGATAGTATGAGGTGGAGGATGCATACGAAGACGGCGATGAGACGGAGGATAAGAGCCAGCATGAGGAAGATGAAAACGAAGACATGGACAGCGACCAAGATGGTAACGAGTATGATGAAACCAATGTATTCTGTGATTCTGCAAAGCGGACATCGAAGTCGCATGTACAGCAGTCGCCACAAGAAAGGCATCTTCGTTTCGGCCGGTATCCTCTCCCCCACCGTGCGGGAAGCCAAGAAGAGCGCAATCACTGGAATCGTCAGCCACATCTCGACAAACCCCAAACCCTAAACCCTAAACCTTCAACAAACTTACCTTTGGTTAGTAGGGAATGGAGGAATGGGGGTACAATTATAACTTCTACTACTACTACCACTACTACTACTACTACTACTACTACTACTACTACTACTACTACTACTACTACTACTACCACTACTACTACTACTACTACTACTACTACTACTACTACTACTACTACTACTACTACTACTACTACTACTACCATTCTTCCATTCCCTACTAACCAAAGGTAAGCAAACCTGGAGCCTGCTGCATGCCAGCAGACATGGGGTGAAGGCTGTGGTGACGGGCGCACACGCGCCACCACGGAGATGTGCTCCTTCGACTTAGGGTTCCTTTAAAGGGTGCGAGCCATAGCGGTTTAGGGGTTCCTTTAAAGGGATGTATAAGGGCTCAATCAAGATCTATAGGGTGAGGGGTTTAGGGTTTCTGAGGTTTAGATCGGGTTTTGGGCAGAGGGGTTCCTTTAAGGGTTGGTTTAGGGGATGTAGAAACTGTAGGGTTTAGAAGTTTACGTCGGGTTTTGGGCTTAGGGGCTGAGGGGCTGTGGTCTAGGGATGAGGGTTGATGGTTTCCTAAGCCCCAGGAGGCCCCGCGCCTTTAACCGCGCGCGCTTAAGCCAGGAGATTTGGGTTCCTGGGGATTTGTGCTGGGAGTTAGCAGCTTCGGGTCCAGAATAATGGAATTTAGGGATCTTTGGTTTTTTTTTTTTTAAGTGCAGTGGTTCTTTCAGGGATCTTTGGTTTAGGGCTTGGGGTGTTGGGCTTAGGGTTTGGGACTGGGGATTAGAATAATAGAACTTCGGGATTCTTGAGGGCCTCGGGGTTCTTGGCTTAAGGTTCGGGTTTTAGGGTTTAGGGCTTGGGGCTGGGGTGCCGGGTTCAATACATAAGCCCAACAGAGTCCTGCTCCTTCGCCGTGTCTGACATGCCATGGCACTGGCTGGTTTAGGGTTCAGGCTTTAGGGTTTAGGGTTCAGGGTTTAGGGTTCAGGGTTTAGGGTTCAGGGTTTAGGGTTTAGGGTTCAGGGTTCAGGGTTTAGGGTTTAGGGTGCAAGGTTTAGGGTCTAGGCTTGGGACCCGATGCTTCAAAGTCTGCAGACATCGGCTGCCGTGCGACGAAGAGTCGATCCATCCGTCCATCCGTCTATGTATCGAACTACCTGTCTGTCTATCTACCTAGCTATCTATGTGTTCACGGAAAACGTTTATACTTTATACATACACACACATACACACATACATACATACATACATACATACATATGTATATATATATATATATATACGTGCATACCCATGCATCCGAGCTACGGGGGTCTGTGCTGCACGACATGGCTTTTTGACTGCTGTCGTAAAAACATCCTTGCTAATCCAATCAGGATGGATTCTACGCATCACTGTGGTACCGTGCTCTGAGCGACCATATAGGGCGTCCCACTATACGTCTTCAGACCTCTTATAGTCCCTATGTAATCTTAGCAAGATCTATCCCAAAGCAGGCGAAACCAGGAGCCTTGGCTACTGTGCATGCTTGCTAGCCGTGTTTCTACGGGCAGCATGTCAAAGCGCCAATGCCAGCTTTCTTCTGAGAGTTTCATGTCATGCGCAATGTTTAGCATTTTACGGTTTTGAATTCTAGGCTTAACCCTAAACCCTAAACCCTAAGCCCTAAACCCTAAACCCTAAACCCTAAAACCCTGAACCCTAAACCCAAAACCGGCTTCGGGCTTATGGTTCAAGTTTTTGTTTAGAGCTTCTGGCCGAGGGTCGAGTCACTACAAACCCAAGTGCCGGCAACTTGGGATACTATCGGGGTCTTAAGAATTACCTAGGGTTCCCTTTAAAGGCTTCTTTTTAAAGGTGTCTATAAGGGCGACCATAGGGGATCTGTAAGGGTACTATACTATCGGGGTCTTAACAATTACCTATGCTAGTTGGGGGGGGGTCCTTATTATAATTCTAGTATATTGGCCCCCGAAACCCTATTCTAATTATTAAGGCCCCTGTATTACCTGTGCAGTTTGAGCCATAGGCTATGTGGCCCACATGTCGTCCAGCCGAACCCCTAAACCCCAAAACCTACTTGGAGGATCATGTCATGGGACTTAGCAAGTAAGGTTATGAGTACCTTAATTGGAGTTATAAGTAATTAAAGGTACAGTAACCCTAATCATAACTCTAGTTACTAAGTCCCATGATCCTTTAAGTAGCCTTCCGGACGGGAAACGCGCTGTACTACCCGATAGAGGCTGACACTACTGCAAAAGACTTAAGGATGAGTATTTGGGATATATTTAGAGCTTAGGTTTTAGGGTATAGGGTTTAGGGTTTAGGGTTTGGGGTTTAGGGTTTAGGGTTTAGGGTTTATAGTACAACCAGAACAAGGACTCCCAGAGCTTCAGTAACCACTAATTGCTCAAGCTTAGAAAGCCTCATGGTCCCCCTCTCATGGCACACGAACTCTAAACTTGAAGCCCTGGCGGCGCCTTGAAGAACACCTGAACCGCTAGTCTCCCAAAGGCTCCATGTAAACATATAGTAGGTACCTAGGCCTTAAAGTAGCCATATATTTTCCTTTCAGTTGAGGCATTGTGATCCATGGGGACCCAAATGACCACCCAAACATGGGGATCTCACAATCAGGGTTCGCTGGCATCCCCGGTATCGGCCACATCCTACCCCCAAAACCAGAGCTCTAACGTTTCGGTGCGATGTTTGGGAGTCTCCTAAAATAGGGGACCCTGACATAGCGCCCCAAATAGTAGGACCCGTATAATAAGGACACCAAAATGAGTTACTCCTAATTTCCGGGAAACTCCCATTTGGGCCCCTCCGATCTCACTGCACACGCTCAGAATTGGAACAGCACCTCCAGAACTTCCGAGAGCCATGGTATCATTCTTCCTCTTCCTGAACGCTCGGCTAATGTATGTTCGATCTCATATACACCGGTTTTGACGGAAGCATTCCTCCGGAATGGCCGCTCAGGGAGAATCTTTACAGTTCGACTGCCTATGGCAGCATTGTAAAGGCCTTCTGTGCACACTTTAAAACGTGGACCGGCTCTGCGCAATATCCACCGGGGGCAGGGTTTGGGGTTTAGGGTTTAGGGGTGTAGGGTTTTGGGCTCAGGGATTTAGGAGTTTGGGGTTTAGGGTGTAGGGCTGTCAGGGTAAGGCTTCATCTACATCCGCAGCCAAATCCTATGGCCGTGTTCGTCCGCCATGTCCTCGCAGGCGCGGATTGCGTCTGCCTCTCCCCTCGCAGCACTCAGCACCCACTCGGGGGCCGCTGTGAGTTGAGCGATGTCGGCCGCTGTACCTATACTGAACTTGGTACCCGTGAAAAGAATATACAGTTTTTAGCTGTCTCTTAGGGAATATAGTAACAAAAAACTAAACTTGTTTCCAACTGCCCCTAAGGTACAGCCCCGACTGTTCTTGAGGTCCAAGCGCGCCCCAGAAGCTATGAGAATCGCAGCTGCTGCGTAGGCTTGGCTACAGAGACTCAGCATCAAAGGAGTGGCCTTGGAGTGGTGATGGGCATAGGTGCTCAGAAGAGATTGCCTCCACTTGTGGCGCAATGTCATCGCACCAAAGAGCATGGAGAGTGTACTGAAGGTCGGAAGGGCAAGTTGGTTGTTGATGTCAGCCTTCTTCTCTATCAGCATTGCAATGGCCTCGGGCGATTGCGCCTTGTAAAGGATGGATATATGAAGGGCCAGACTCAGACTCTTAGGGCTCGTGCTATCCAGCAACTCCATCATGCTGTGCACATGGCCCCCAGCTGCAGCCATGTGGATCGGCTCGAGCCCCAAAATGTTCAAGGCCGACGTGCTGGAGCCCTTTTCCTTTAGGGCCCCAAAAAAGCACATAAGCAAAAATTAGGATAGTGATATCCCATATAGACCCCCTTATAATGAAGCCCACCTTCAGAATTCGAACAGCTGCTTGATTGTCAGCTCCTGCGGCCCAGTGCACGGCCATGGCACTGTAGCCGTCCTTTCTGGCCAGGTCGGCACGTGCTTCCAGCAGGAGCATCACGCACTCGTTGTGCTTCAGAAAGCTGCACATGTCAAGCACGGTCGTATTCTGAGCAAACCTGGGCTCTTGTTAAGGGATTTACCTTAAGTGACCATAATAAGGACTTGTGGAAAATAATACGGTTTCCTTATTATTATTATGGTAAGTTACATTAAATTCCTTAACAAGAACCCCCTAAACCCTAAACCCTAAACCCCAGAAACTGCATGATGTTGTCCCGCTTGGTGATCTTGTCATTCACGTCGGCCTTGCCCTGCAGCAAAGCCTCTCTGCAAGAGCGGGGACCAAAAGAGTTTAGGGTTTAGGGTTTAGAGTTTAGGGTTTTGGGTTTAGGGTTTAGGGTTTAGGGCAATCTTTTCAGGTAGACCAGGGTTTGGGTTCAGAGCTTATTTGAGGCATAAAAAAGCTTAAAGCTCTCCTGTTGCCTATCTAAGAAGCCGAAACTACCCTGGTGTCCCCCGAAAGCACCGCATAGCACAACGGGCTCCAACCAGATGCCTGCCGCTCCATGCTTTTCCTGGGTGATTCTGATACTTGTTAAGGAGCTTAGGCTTAAAACTAGGGTTTTAGGTGTTGGGGCTCAGGGGTAGGGATTGGAGCTAAGAGTTTAGGGGGTGATTCTGTTCAGGAGCGTAGTTTAAGGTACCACCATACGGCGGAAACCTTTATTCTGGCAACTTAAGTTCCCATAGTAAAAAAATCTACGTATGGTTACCATAGATCCCGTTGGTGGTTACTTGAAATAAACTGCTCACTGCTCAACCCTAAACCCTTGTAGAATCCTTAGAGAACCCTTAAAGGAACCAAAGTATTGAAAACTCTAGACCCTAAACCCTAAACCCTGGCCCTAAGCCCTGAACCCTTAAAACCCTAAACTCTAAACCCTAAAACCCTAAACCCTCAGCCCTAAACCCTAAACCCTAAACCCCTAAAACCCTAAAACCCTAAACCCTCAGCACAAGCCCAGGTTCAAGCCGTTTTGGTGCATGAACTTCGCCATGGGATCCAAGCCGTTCCCTCCTGCTTTCAAGCATTGGTTAGTAGGGTGGTAGGTAAGGTAGGGTAGGGTAGTAGGGTGGGGTAGTAGGGTACTTGGAGGGTCGGGGGACTTAGTAAGTAGGTAGTAAGTAGACTTATAAGTACCCTAAAAGGGACCCTAATTTTGGTTATGGTACTTAGAAGTCCCTAAAATAACCAGTTACTAAGTCCCCCGACCCTCCAAGTAGGGTAGTAGGGTAGGGTGGTGGGGCAGGGGCTTTCGGCTTGAGGGGCTTTAGAGTTCCCTTAGAAGGGATCTGTAGGGGCTCTGTTAACGGGGGTCCATAAGTAAGGGCTCCAGGAAGGGACCTATAGGGCTTCGGGGTTTGGAGATTTGGGGCTTTAGGGTTTCAGGCTCAGGAGCTGCGGGGTTCAGGGTTTAGGGGCTCCTTAAAGGGATCTATAGGGTTCCTTAAAGGGATCTATAGGGTTCCTTAAAGGGATCTATAGGGCTGCTTCAGGGTTGAGGGGCTTTGGGGTTTGGGGGCTTCTTAGGCTTTAGGACTTACTTGGAGGATCAGGGGACTTAGTAAGTAGGGTCATAAGTAGTTATAAGTATAGTAACCCCAAATTATAGCCCTAATTACTAAGTCCCATGATCCTTTAAGTAGGGCTGTGGGATTCGGAGCTACGGTTCCGGGTTTGCAGTTTGGGGTTTGAGCTTTGGCTTGGCTTGTCAAGGTGTCGCTGAACTAGATGAAGGACACGGTTTAGGGTTTAGGGTTTAGGGTTTAGGGTTATGGCTGGAGACGGCACCAGGACCTATCCCAAAAAATCGTCAATCCCTCCCCTCGCCTACCTGAATCCTAGACCTAAACCCTAAACTCAAACCCGCTGCGGAAACCGTCCTGGAATCAAATCCTCCACGCGGTCCTCACCAAGACCTCTCAGGAGCACACTCTGGAGGTTCTGCATGACCCGAAAGTTGTGCATGTCACCGGAAGAGAGGTAATACTTCAACCTGGCTTGGCACGGTAATGCTTCAACCTAGGGTTTTAGGTTTAGGGTGTAAAGCCCTCTATGACGCAAACAAGGAGAATACGAGATATCCCCCTTGGAACCCTCATATGAACCGCTAAAAACCCTTAACAAACCCTCTTCAAACTCTACAAAGTCTGAGAAACTCTAAGCCCTAAACCCTCTTTGAACCTTCTGGTTAGGGCTCAGGGTTTAGGGGTTTAGGTTTAAAAACGAAAATTTTGAGTTTAAGGGTTTAAGGTGAAATTCTTTGACGTTTAACTACATTCTAATATACCCTATGCTTGTAGATCGAGACTTGCACTCTCGCACTCCCCTGAGGTGCGAAGCTGAGCATGGCCCCTGCGGGGCGGGATGACACGCACCTTCGGAACTTGGGGTTTGGCTCAAGTAAAAAGGGGTGTGGGATGTTTGAGTTTGGTGTTTGTTGGGGAGTTCTTGGAGGCTTTGAGGTGAAGGTTGGTGGTGGCTGTAGTCGCCGGGTGTGGGAAAGCGGTGTTCGTAGAGAAAGTAGGTTAAGAGCCTTGGGTTGCTGTTTGGTTAGGCGGTTGTTCTTTCGGGAGTGGGCGGAGCCATGGATCCTAGGATGAGGCGGCGGGAGGCCCTAATCAGCGAGGAAGAGAGAGAAGCATTCCGCAGAGGGCCTTCTGACTCACCTTTGGCATCTACACCGAATTCCCAACAACAGACTCAAACATTTATTGCTTCGCAGAGAGGCTTGATAGTGGAGATCCCGAGCATGAGTGGAAGCGGGTCGCAAAGACGTGCAGCGTCAGCTGGCCCTACGGTGCAGCAGGCTAATCCTTTCTGGTCTGAAAGGGCGCGTGATGAGTTGGCACTGCAACAGGCTAGACCCAGCACATTGCCGGAGATTCAGAATGATCATGAAGGCTCAGTTGCAGGGAGATTGTGCACATCACAGTCAATTGAGCATCAGAGGCTCGATACTCTTCCACCCCACCCAGACGGAGTCCCTGTGGTGTTTGGCCCACGGCTGGCATTGCAGGAAGATCCGCGGAACGCAGCTATGATGACGGGGCCGGAGCCATCGGCTACTTCAACATCTCCAGGGGTGGTAGAAGTACAGGAGTCAGTCCATGCTCCACAGCAGAGGCAAGCAGAATCATCGGGCACATCGGATTTTGTTCGTGCAGCTTTCAACGAAATACGGTCGGTGCTTACTGCTTTCTCCAACAGATTGGAAAGGCTTGAAGAGGCCAGTGCACGCACAGCGTCAGAGGGCAGTCAAGGTTGCCGAGAGGTTTCTGGAGCTATTCACGGGGGTGGTTTAGGCGGGGGGCCACTGGAAGCAGGTTCGTACGGTGGTCAGGGTGGTATGGGTGCAAACGGTTCGTTTGAGGGACTTCAGGGAGGTTTGCCTAATCTTCAACAGGGTTTGCCTAACGTAGAGGACAGGTCGGAGCCCAGGGTGCTTTTGACGGCTCCAGTCCGTGACCCGATGATGGCTCCGCGTGGGGCTGCTCTAAAGAGTATGCCCGGAGAGCTGAGGGACTTGCGTGAGAGTGGCATGCCGTCGAGTTTGGTTGAATTGCCTGACGCCCCAGTGATGGCTCCAGATGTGAGACTGGCGAGGCCGGGTTGGGCCAATGAGCCGGAGCTGAGGGGTAACACGTCTTGGAGTCGTGCATTGCAGGTGTTGCGTGAGCGTGGTGTGCAGCAGACCCCAAATTACTTCATCGGTGATGGGCCGTGTCCTGTTGGCATGACGGTTGGTGAGGGACAGGCTTGCGAACAGTATGAGGCTGGGAATTGCGTAAGTTCTTCGGTTGATGTGCCAAACTTGGAGGGCGAGAGTGCGAGAGTCGTTACCCAAACGAGAGTTATAACCCCTCCTCCAGGGATGGGAGGTCCACAAAGGCGCGTGGGAGGCTACGAACTGTTTGGCCCTCCGGGCCCATCGCCAAGCCCAGGAGAGGAAGGCAGGAACCCATCCACGGTGCTGTCAGGAGCAGTGCCCTTCCCCACCACCCACGCCCGGTACGTAACACCCCCAAGGGGCCCCGAAAGGCTGCCGGTGGATGTGCAGTATAGTCCTCAGTGGCAGCGGTGGACGGAGCTGCCAAATCTACCGGAATTGGATCCATCGGAAGGGCCTCTGCAAATGCATGATTGGCTGGTGCAGCTTGGCCCGTTGGTTTCTGATATGTCGGGTGGAGCCATGTACTACTGGAGAGAGGTGCTGTCGCAGGCTCAATCTTATTACGAGCGTTGGTTAAATCTTTCGCCGTTGGAACGCAGTCAGCTTCAGGTCAGTCTGAGTGCAGAGCTTTGCGAGCCTAGGTTTGTGCGCGTGGAACAGCGATTGGTTGGCATGATTTTGAAAGCATTTCCCGAATCTCTCAAACAAGAGTGCATTGCCGGAGGATTGATGTCTAGCGTGCAATTGCTTTGGAGAGCTCTTGTTCGCTACCAGCCTGGCGGAGCTCAGGAGCGTCAGCTCTTGCTGGGATATCTAACCGGGCCCCCTAAGGCCAAATCCGTAGAGGACGCGGTTCAAGTGTTAAGGCGATACTCTAGGTGGGGCATTCGTTCTCAGGCCCTGGGAATCACTAGGCCAGACCCTTCTTTGATGCTGCGAGGTCTGGAGTCGTCAGTTTGGCCTGTGATTAGCCCGCACCAGGAGGCTACTTTCAGACTTCAAATTCTGAAGGTTCAGCTGGGGCTCGATCATGTGCCTACTTGGGATAAGGTGTCTACGTACCTTCGGCATTTGGCCGCTGAGTGTGAATTGCTGGCGGTTGGGGCCGCTGCCGAGGCTGGGGGCCACAACAAGAGGCAAAAGGTGAATCAACTCAATGTGCCACCAGGGAGTGCCGAACAAGCGGGGGGCCATCGTGACGGGGTTGGAGACCATGCCAAGGGAAAGGGAAAAGCCAAAGGCAAAGAGGGACTTGGAAAGGGTCTCGGGGATGGGAACAACAAGGGCAGGGATTCAGCTAAGGGTGATGGCAAGGATACGGGCAACAGTAAAGGAGCGACCAAGGGAGTTTGTAAACACTTTTCCACGCCAGGTGGGTGTAGGCGCGGCGGCACATGCAATGACGTGCACCCTTTCATTCCTAGAGGAGAGTCTAGGTGCTACAATTGTGGCGCTTCCAATCATTTCAAGCGCTCTGAGTGTCCGTTCCCTGGGCGCCCTGAGCCGCCGGGTGGAAAAGGAGGGACACAGCAAGTTGCGGCTCTACAGGGAAACACTAGCCCGGTCGGAAACGGTAGCTTAGGTGCATCCGTTCCAGCTCCTCCTCCGGCAAACGCTGGGGGCATAAGCTCTGCGAGCACACCAGCCGGCCAGCAAGGGGGCTCACAAGCTGAGGCGTTTGTACAAGAAGCGCAACAGTTGTTGAAGAACTTTCGCCTTGCTGCTTTGAGAGTTTCTGCATCTGGTGATCCAGGCTCAAACCGCGAAAAAGGACGTTTTTCAGACCCGGGTTTTGGGGCCGAAAAGGGGGGTCTGAAAAGGGGGGGTGAGGCGGGTTTGAAGTCTGGTGGATGTGAGAGGGGTTTGGAGTGCAGTGGGTGTTCCTCAGACCCAGGTTTTGGGGCCGAAAAGGGGGGTCTGGGGGGTTTGAAGTCCGGTGGCTGTTTCTCAGACCCGGGTTTTGGGGCCGAAAACGGGGGTCTGAAAAGGGCGAAGGGGGGGGTTTTGAGTGCCAGTGAGAGTAAGAGCCTGTGTGAGCGTGAGAGCGGGAGTGACAGTGAGAGCAAGAGCCTGTGTGAGCGTGAGAGCGGGAGTGACAGTGAGAGTAAGAGCCTGTGTGAGCGTGAGAGCGGGAGTGACAGTGAGAGTAAGAGCCTGTGTGAGCGTGAGAGCGGGAGTGACAGTGGGAGCAGGGATCCGCGTGAGCATGTCGATCGAACTGTGTTTCGGTGTAGTTTAAAGACGGTAGGGCGTGATATGGATCAAGCTGCTTGGATCCTACTTGATGGAGGGGCCACTGCGCCGCTTCGGCCCGGGACGGCCCGTGAACTTGCCAAAGCAAAGCCAGTTGAAGTAGGATTAGCTTCAGGTTCCACTCGTTTGTGGTTAGCTGAGAATGGAACGCTCCTAGGTCCGGCTGACATTAGTCCCATTGTCCCACTTGGAGAACTTGTAGGACTGTTGTCCTGTACTGTCTCATGGTCTGAGGGGGGTTGCCGGGTCCATCACCCCAAGCGTGGAACGTTGGCCACTCGGGTTCGCGACTCCTGCCCGGAGGTTCCACGAGACTTGGGGCTCGCATTGATTGCAGAACTGGAGCAGGTGAAGGCTCGTAAACTCTCTAAGGGACTTCGGGTGTTGCGATTTCTACAGTCCAAACCCACAAAGGAACCCCTTAGTTCGTGTGCCGTTGCTGCAGCGAAAGCCTTCCAGACTTCGGGCGGGGATTTAGGAGATTCGGTGCTTCAGGAGGCCTTGGCTTGCTGGGTCGAAACAGCTTACAACCTTGATCCGAAATGGGTCCCTCATATCGTACCTGATTCTCCTGACATTGGCACGGTTCATCTAAACCGACGACGACGACGAGCCATTGAACGGAGTGAAGGCGTGGTCCTTAATTTCGGTCAGAACTCTGTGGAAAGGCCCCAGATGGGTGCGGAGTATCTTGATGTTGGGCGCGAAATTGGCAGTATTTTGCAAGATGGCGTTTTTCATTACCTGTGTTTCCTTGCTGCGACGGGTTGTGCCTTGTCCGTGGTAGGCATGCGTGAGGGGGACGTGACACTGAGAGAAGACATGGAGAGTACAGAAGAAGCGAGTGCCGTGCAACTTTTGCGACAGAGGCTTGTTGTCGACCTTATTCGGTTTGTCAGGGCTGCACAACAAGGTGATGAGGAATTTGCAGGTCTAGCGGAGGGTGTGGAATCCTCTGTTGTACTTAGTCCTCAGTCTCATGTGTGTGCGAAGCTCGGTGTGAAGGCGGATGCATTTCGACGCCATGTGCTGCAGGGCCATG